CGTCCTGGGCGCCGCCGGCCGGGGCGCCGTCGAAGTCCCCGTCCTTCAGGCGCTCTCCCGCCTCCAGGCTCTTGGCCAGGTCGATAGCGGAGTCCAGGGAGGACGAGACCTGCTTGGGCGGCTCGGGCTGCGCGGGGGCCGCGAGGCCGATGGGCTGGGTCACGGCAGCGCTGTAGCTGGGCGGGGGGGTTTTGTACTGCGTCCTGTCTGTCTCCGAGCTGGCCCGCTTGCGCAGCCCCTTGTCCGGAGAGCTGGTCCTGGTCGGATAGCCCATCTCCGACATCACCGAAGTGCTCAGCTGGGGTTTCAGCGGGACCGGAATGGAGACGGAGACTGAAGGCCGATCGCTGGGGCACGAGAGAGAGAGAAGTCAGCCAAGCAGGGAAATTTGCCTTTTTCCTTCTCTACTTTAGCACACACACACACAAAAAAACCAATCATAAGCTATGCAGAATGGAAACAGCTGTGCTAAGCAGACCGCTAACCTTACTTCTTGTTTTCGAAAGCTGCCATTTTAACAGAGGAGGTAAAACACCCTGATGTTTCTGCCCCCTACGTGAGCGGAAAAAGAAGACCTCAGACGATTTCAATTATTCAACTCGAAGGGCTGGTGTTAAAACGTTTTGAACCTCTTTTCCAGTTATTACCAAGTCCTGGCTTCCAGAGTGTTTCTTTTTTCACGCTCGGCTTGCAGGACCACCCTCCCGCGTCGCGCGAAGCTGCCGTGGTGCTGCGTCTGGCGGGGAGGCAGCCTTGGACGCGCGCACCGCACGTGGTGGGATTCGGGAAGGTGGCTGCTCTCGAGCGGGGCCTGTGCGCTCCGTGCGAACGCGGGCGGGCGGGCGGCAGGGGGCGAGGACAGAGCCCAGCTCAGCCAAGCACCCCTGGATGCAGCGGAGAGTGGAAGTGCACCAGAAGATCGACAAGTGCTGACAAGGGACACCAGAGGGGAAAGAAGGCATTTTCCAAAATGTGGTGGTTCCAATTTGGTAATTGGTTTAAAAAAAGTTAAATAGACGCTTGGTAACAGCGGTTTGGCAACTGGGAAAATTGCCTTTTGGACTCCAAGGCACCAATTTTTTCACAGCTGCAGACAGCTTGGAACCTGCCCAGGAAGCGCCAGCCGCTTGCTCCAGTTGCTCAGTAGGGATGCAGCACTACCGCTCTGAGCGAACAGGCAGATGATGCGTCTCGCTGTCAAGGAAGCCTGATTCATTTCCTTCAAAAGGCTCTGGCGGAACTGCAGCTTGCACTGTCTTTTTTTTTTTTTAAATCACATGAGCAACAGGCCACATGCTGTCTGTGCACCAACCCTGCCAGTAAGGCATTATTTCTGTGAGATAATTAGCCATGATGTAATACCGAAGATCAGACAGATCAAAGGCCTTGCTCTCACTTGAAAGACTGCGATGCTGCTCCATTCTGATCACACAGCATCCACAAACAGCCTATCCGGAATGAATACAGTTTTCTCCGAAGGATAAAGGTTTAAGATGGCGAATTTGGGTTATCTCTCTGGTTACACCTGTAGACAAAACTTTTCTCAGGGACAACCTTGTTATTACTTAAGCAGTAATATCAACATTATTTTATCAGTATATATTAAGCTTTCATTAAGGTCATCCAGATAACAGAAATACCTGTGCAGAGCTTACAGGTTGTTGTTAGAATGCTGACCCTTAGCTGTTAATCCGCTTTCTCATGTGTCTTCTATGGTAGTTTACAAAGGGGCATGATAAGGTCAAATATCCCTGCCCAATGCAGACATCTGAGATAAGAACACAGAGCACAGCATTCCACTTCACAGCTATAATAAAACTACCAGAGGATGGGATCGTAACAGTCCTTATCATATGTTATCAGAACCCCTAAAACTGGCTTTCAAAATGACAGGGCTCAAGCTTTCAACAATTACTGAAGGCAGCTGAGGTTGAATGTTCAATATAAAAACAATCCAATCTTCTACTGGAATGCTAGTGTATTCCAAATCCCCTAGACACTTCTGGCTTTCACTGGAATTACTACCTTCGGAATAGGAAATATTGTCAGTCTAAAACGCACGATTGCAGTAAGTCCCCACAATCAAAGCAAATCAATAATGCTTCCTACATGGATTTAAGTGCTTAAAACCCTTATGTTTGACTTTTCAAAGTCCATTTTTCCATAGCTATCCATGTCACTGGTACACACAATAATGTTAAGACACACCGATCCAGTTTCCAGAAAAAAAAAGATGGCAGTCAGTACATAATTCATTATTTTCCAATGATGGGCGCGTCATCATGATTTTGAGATCAAATCGCTTTTAAACACAAGCTCTAAGGGGCAAGCTCTATATCAAACCATACAGCTTTAAGTGAAGAATAAAATGAAATCACCCTTGAGAATTAAAGAGAAACTCCACTGAGAAAATCAATATGTTAACAGCCTGACTCAAGAATGGAGCTCTAAAAAATACTGCTTGACTTCAATTACAATATAATATTGAAACAATGAAGCATAACAAATGACTAATGAAATCATTGGTAAAATTATTGTCTAAAGGTTCAGAGTATTTGACATTGATGTTTGAAGCTTTAATTAGAAACATAATCTTAAAAAGGTTTTTGCATTAGTCAAAATGTTTTTGGTAAAACCTCCTTTAAATTCATTTTAAAGACCTATACAACTTGTTCTACCGTGCAATAAATAACAAGCCAAAATTCTGAGATGTTGCCAGAATATTTATCATCACTCTCAGTCCAGTTTTCTTCTTATTCTGTCCAATTAGCCTGTCACCTGCATCTACCACACAGTACGCTCAAGGAAAAGATCATGTGAAAATCACACTGATGTAAGCATAATTACACATTCGGCAAGGAACGCTGGAAGAAATCTACTCCTCGGACTCTTTCATAAGTCTGCTGAGACCTGACAAATATGAGCTGGAGTGGAACTAAAACGCCTGAGCACAATATGTGACTAAGAAAATTTCCAAAAATTATTATTCCCCTTCTACGGATTGACAGTTAAGCACAAAAGTGTCAGCTGTCCTCTTAATGACAGCCCCGCAGTAATAAATGGAGATCTGCTGGTGTCAGAGCAGGACTTCCGACAGAGGGAGATTGTGTTTGAATCTCTTGCCAAGATAAGGCTGTTTTTCACACTGAACTACAAATGTGAAGAACAGCCCTGAAAGCCCAATGTGAATGAGAAAGAAGTCTTCAGAAATGAGCTGAGCGTTCACGCAGCGTAGGTCATCATCTGCTTTCCAATACTGCCCCTGTTGTGCTAGAGGTCAGCCAACTTTTATGACACCGAAGTTTGTGAACACTGCATTGGTGGTCACTGTGAGGGCTGATTTAGTTTCACTGAGCTGCGATATTTTTATGAGATGTTTTTAGGGTCCTTAATAAGCTTTACTATTCCCTGAATCCTCTGCGGAGTCTCGTTTAAATGATATCACCGCATAAAGTCAACCTAAAATCTCTGCCCAAGACATTCTGCTTTGCTTGGCAGTCTCCTACGCTGATAGGTTAAAGGCTCCCCAAACAATTTTGAGCTGAGGTCACCTTTCCTTCTTCTGTCAACATGAGCCTTCAGTATCTAAAACAGTCTTGGAATTTCAAAACCAAACACTTCCAATTTCTTATCCTCGGAGTGGCTGAGAATGGTGTTGCTCTTGTTGCACTCTGAATGGCAATTCAGCTCTCAAAACGGGAGCCAAGCTTCTGCTGTAAAACCTCGCTGTCAGTTTCAGAAGCCTTTGCAGACAACGGAATAAGAGGCAACACAGTTGGGCATTTACTTCCATGCACAGGCGCTATAAATGCCTGTAAGTGTGGGTATCAACTTCTACCAAAAGCAAAGCCAGATTACAGTCTGAAGGCAGCTCTTTTAACACTAAAATGAATACCTTTCCATAATTTATTTTGTCAAGCGGAGATATAATCAAAATGTATTCTTGTTATTATATATAATCTCACAATCACCTAACTCAAACTCCTACCCCACACCCTTTCAAACCTCATGAAGTGACTATGCCTCAGGCCAGCCTCAACACGGACATCACAGGTGGGGGTTACACCGCGAGAAACCCCTCCACAACGCGTCTTTTTAGACGTTTCTGGCGTGGCATGCACGGCGAGCGACTGCAATCAAACAGAAGAGGCAGGAATTTACAGCCATTATCACTGCTCCTACACCAAGCGTTCTGGAATCGGAAAAACAGAAATGGGGCTGCAGCACCCAAGTGAGCAGGCCTGCAACTAATCAGCGAGCTTCACAGTGTGCAGGAATGAAGCTCTGATCTGTGAACTACAGCCAGAGCTTCCTCACATGTGAAGTACACAGGAACACGTTAAATTAGTTTATTTTAAACTCCACAGGCTTTTCCATTTAAAGACCAGAGATGACAAAGCTGGAAGGCAGAAGTGTTATTCCTCTGCTCTCACATGCGTTTCAGCTCCTTCCCAAGAAATCCTGGCTCTATGAGCTCAACCACCACCCCCTACGACAACACCTGTAAAACAGTTTGCTCTTTCCCTATTTTTGTTTCCCTAAACACACAGGGAGAGTTTGACGTAGCTGTAGGAGAATAACGTTAACCACAGTCATGTCTTCGTCACAGTGCAGAATCCAAACAAGAAATTGATGTACTGTAAATCCAACAGTACACAGCTTACGGGACTTAAATAAATCAGCATTTAGTGATGTTACACCAGTTTAACCTGCATGGTCATTAAATGAATCCCCATTTCTATGCCCAATACAATTCACCTTACATACATTTCCTTGTCGTTTTCATCCTTTCATTTCCACGTCTGTGCAAAGTGCCCCAACCACTGGATGTACTCCCTTGCTTCCTTGCAGAAGAAGAAAAATGTGCCTGAACTCCCGCTACGCTGAATTTACACCATATTGAGGTATGGCTTGTGTTCATGAAAGTAAATTACTCCCTGGGTAAAGATCCCCATACAGGGAAACTAATCTGAGACTTCCTGAACTCATTCCGCTGTTAACTCTTTACAGCTGCAATGCTGGATTTCGAATGCATCTACACTTCACTTTCCCTTCTGGTCTGAAAACATTCCTACACTGAGACCTTAGCCTGGGTGTATTTCAAGCGTTACAGAAATGCTAAGACGCTGTTTGCACAAGAGAGGGGAAAAAGCAGAGAATCTCCGCTGTTACCATGTCAGGTTGACCTGCTAGCTTGTCTGTGTTACCTCCTACATCAACGCCCCCCCTCCACCACCCCCACTTCCTAGAACATATACAGCTTGGATCATGGTTCTGCTGCTCAGTTTAAGACTGAGAACAGGCGCATCTTCACACACACTGTGCTGTAACAGTCTAGAGCGAGCTACAGTACCCAGACACACCTCGGATCGCTCACAGGGCACTACGCTTCAGAGGGGATGAAAAGCGTCCCCTCCTATGTGTAACAAACTCTGGCAAACATTTGGGATTCTATAAAATGCGAGCAATGCTCATTCTTCTCATCATCACGTAACAGCAAACAACAAGCTGGGATGAATGCCTGCAAACTCCCCCGTGTTTGTTCCAATGTGCGATAATGTCCTGTCCATCAGTAAACTTTAAAAGCAACTGCCGTTTGTCTTGATGGCTGTGTTTCTTAATCAGTATTGTCATTTACATAAGAACAACATCTTGGAAGATTTCACCATAATGCCACTTATCACTGATAGTCAGTTCACCAGTACTTCCAAGTTCTGTTATTGCAGAACTGAACACTTCGCTCACCTGAAGGACCATGCAGCCAAAAGGCACACAGCGAAAATCATATGTGCAGTATCCGAAGATACAAGAATCGCCGCTGTAAATTGATCAGGTCTTTTGAAGAAAGACGACCACAAGATCATTTTTGTGGATCGAAAACTGATTAAAAAAAGAAATAAACATAACAAACCTGGAGGGCTAGGACTGAAGCTGAAGCTAACCGATTGTGACCCAGTGACTGAACTGCAAACCTCCGCAGCCCTGCAACGTGTTTGCAGCTGCCTCAGGGAACACGGCTATCATTTATTTCAACCTTGCTCAAAGGTCAGCCATTTCATCTGTTTTATCTTAAGGGTTTCGGGCTATTTTTTAAATTTGGGGATATAATTACTTTATGTTATTTCTTTCTCTTTAAAAATGAGCATCAGATCATTAAGAGATAATCTTCGGAATTACCCTGACCTCGACTTAGCAGGTTCGTGACAATCCTTGCGCTCTTGATCGACTGCGCCCGGTCAGGGCCCTCATTGAGACTGAAATGACATCAGTCATGGGGATTTTGAGATTTTTTCAGGAATTTAACTAGACTAAAATCTGGGACTCAGAAGGAAAAAAAAAAGTACGTCTTTGGTTTGTGAGACAAAAGCTCTTTTGTAGAATGTGGATGCGAGAATTAGGTTAGAGAAGCATGCTCAAGCATTGGCCTTGTGGTTTTCAAATATCCACTGTCCCTCCTCGGAAACCAGCAGCTCCCATTTGGTGCGGCAGGAGAGGTTTTCCGCTAGTCGCTGCATTTACCATCTCTACCCTCCTGAGAGCAAGGCTGATTTTATTTCTGAATCACTGCACAAAATTAATAGAAGGAATGGGTCATGCCCTAGCGATCTGAAATCTAGCAATGACACAGAGTTGGGGAGAGCCGAGGTCACATGCAGAGTACTCACCATCGCACCATTAACCCATGTTCCAGGAAGTTCTTCAGGTTAGGAAGTGTTTGCCGGAGGTCGGGTGTGGACAGGCCATGCTGATACCTCAGCTGAGAACACACAAAGAAAGCCGAGTTAAAACCCTTTCCTTACGGCGCACCTTTATAGTGGGGAAAAAAAAGGTTTCGAAGACGCCACAGAAAGTTCAGCTCTTCAGTGTGGTTAGGTTGTCTGACCAGTCAGGTAAAAGCAAGCTATGTGAAATGTTCTGCAGTTGTTTGCAAACATCTTTCTTAATCACCCATGTGATTAGCAGAGATCAACAGGGGTTACTCTCTTAACCTAAAGTCTACACTCATTCTCAATTCTGGGCAGACAAGATGAACAGATGAGACTGGTTACTTACCAATGGAGTCATTTTTGCCTGCTCAGGGAGGTGTGAGCGAATCCTTGTTTATCACAAGTATTGCTTTCTTTTGCAAAGTGTTCAACATACTGGAAATTGACGGCGTGTGCCGTTATCCATCTAAGTTGTAAAACCAATGAAAGCCCAGCTTTACCAAAGGTAAAAAGAACAGTATTCAATCTGAGTTTCACGGTGAATTTGTTTTCCTGGTGGTTTTTCGCGTGCTAATCCCCCATGAGCGTTAACAAAATCGGTCAGGAGCGAGTTCAAAACTACAAATCATCAAAGCTGAGCGCTGCAACAGCGCGCTGGATTACTTTCTGTTCAATGCCTATCATTAATGCCGACATATTGGGCAGCCACCCTTGAAAACCCTTCAGATTTCAGTTACAACGCAGGTAGATGTTTAAGAGCTGGAAGCAGGCAGTAAGCTGAAGACAGGGAATCCACATTACGCATCTGGAAGGGATTTGAGCAAGGTGCGTGGAAAGTCTGATTCCTGCAAAACACATTTGAATTTCCATGTGGTACGTTTCCCCATAGAGTCTAGCAATACTACTCCTGACAGTTTTTTAAAACTGATTCCATGTAGTTACGAGTCATATCACACAAGATGAACATACTAAAAGATGTCTGCAAGCTGTTGAAAACCTACACCACCTTTGCAACCTGATCTCCTCAGATCTCAGAAGCTAAGCAAGGCTGGGCTGGCCAGCACTGGGAGGGGAGACCTCTAAGGAAAACCAGGTTGCTGCTGTAAGTACCGGGCTGTGGACCGGTAGGTGCCGCTCTTCCTTCTGGACTTCAATTTCCAAACCAACGCCCCAGAATGGTGATCAGGAACACAGTCAGATAAGACATTAAAACAAAGTCCCGACAGGACAAGGTCAAGAGCAGGGACGCTAACTCCTGTACCCTGAAAAAAATCAAATCTGGGCTTGAACAATCTGGCCTTTCTAAATTCCCCCCTTAAATCATCTGATCTTTGGAGTGGGGTTACTGGTGCATGTGACCCAGTTGGGTCCTACACTTCAGTGGCTGATGAACTGGATACTTACATATATGCAAAGAACTTTGGGATCCTACTGGGATGAAGAATGCAATCAATTATTAATATTCCTAAAAGTTATATAAAACCTTCATAGGTATTAATTACTTCAGCATCTATTATACAACACAATCTCCCAACAGAGCAGAAGTGCAATCTGTTGTTACTCATAATCTAATTTAGTTTTATACAACACAGCATTATAACCTCACCGAAAATTGTGCATCCACACGCAATCCTCATGCATAGAATGTTATTCAGGTATTATGATAGAAAATTATAGTTTGACAGTCAATACTTCGTTGCTCTAATAAGGTGCATATGAATCCAATTAGGAGGTGCAAAAATGCTGCAACAATATGAGAATGAAGAACGAAACATTCTCACGCACCTAAAATAGTGCATTTATAACCTTCAAACTATGACACTTTCAAACATGGTTATTATGAAATAATTAAGAGATAATGCTTTGAGTGTGAAGAACAGTCATTCCATTACAATGAAATATTGCTTACTCTAAATTTTTACTATGGGGTATTATGTAAGAACCACCTATGCTATTTTGTTTCTGCTGTGTGGCCGGAACAGTAATATTCTTTGAAGATGCTCTTAGGCAAGACCAATAACATGCCCAGCTGCTTAAGTGTTAACACATGCCTAAAGTTAAGACCAGAACATGTAAAGAATATATATGATGTTTGAATAAAATCCTCTGTTTTATAGCTATTAACCACTGGAATGGTTTGCCCTGGCTGAGCGTCCGTCAGCTCTTCGTGAAACTGTCTTTCATGGGAGGTTTTTATCACAGTTTGGATCAAACGAAGGAAGATCGCTTAAATCCCAGTCATTGCTGAAATGCTACAGCTTTGCAAGATGGAATCATTCAGCAATATAACTGTTAAAAGCTGTCTAACTAAACTTTAGACAACTAAATGGTGTTGTCTACACACAAAAGAGGTAACATATTATGCCACCAGATTAATAATCCTTGAAGTTGACCTTTGTGTAACAATACCCTCACCTCATCTAAAGCTAGATTGCACTCTCTTGCTGTTGTGAATAAAGTATTTATTCATAGTGTAATCAATTTACATAAAAACTCTACTCTTCAGCTACAGTGTAAGAGAAGAAGAATGCTATTTCTCCTATTCCTCAACTGGAAAGGAGAAAAAATACATGTCTAGCAAAATTAACTGCATTTTTCTATTGAAAAAACAAATGCAAAGCATACAGATAAAGCTAGACTGCCTTATGGTTTCTACTTACACACTGTCCTAAAGAGAGCACACCTGCTACTGCCAGAACTTAATGGACAGTTGGAAATCCGTGGTCTTGCATGATGTAAAATCTCAGGTGTGTGACAGCCATTTCCCCAAATCCATATTGAAATGTTGCCAAATGGATTGTAAAGCAACCTGATTCCGAAGGGCTGGGCGGACTCCACTGCACCATGAGCATTCGATCCAGCTCCGTTTTTCTGTTCGCATTTGTCTTCACCGGCAAAAGGGTTGGAAAGAAATTCTGTGGTTAAACACATGCGAGGTTGTGAGGTCTGACTAAAGGCCCTGGACAGAACACTGTCCTTCCAGGCTGCCCTGAGCTCTGTGCAAACTGGGAACACAGAAGTGGAAAACAATGTGAACACTGACTCTGCTGTATCCAACCTGTCACATGGCTGACGTTTGGCACACTCGGCCCGATTAATATTCATGCATAGCACAAAACACACCATGATGATTTGAAAATTACAACTGACTGAAGGCTATTTAAAATAACTTTGGCATGATACCCCTTTGAGGGTTGTCCTTTACAGTATGGCATTCACTATCTGCCTCAACCATGTTCAGCTTTAACACAATAATACAGACCAGCACAGTCTGGCTGCTTCTGAGCAGGCTGAGAAAAATGGTTGGCCAATGGAAAAGTAAAGATTTAAAATTCTGATCTCTCAGCTGTTTTCATTTGTGACTTCCCTATCATCAGTAAGTAGATTCATCATCACTTTTCTGTCCTTGTTTTGGTTCTTACTCAGGACAGTAATACTTTCCATGACCAAAATAATTGCTATAATCTTAGCTGCACCCCTTACCCCCTTTTCACTGCTTCACACATAATAGTCCTGCACTGGTCACTTTCCCAGTCTTAGAGTAAATTATAATTTAAGGGCCTTTCAGTATATAATTTAGAATATAATATAGAGTGCAGGTCCTTTTTGTCTTTTGAAAATAATTTTCCAACTTTCCAAGGTGAAAAGACAATCTTGTAACTGCAGTCTTCAT